TTTTTTAATGAGGCTTTTTTTCGTGCTTTATTAAGCCTGTCATTAGCTGCTTTAATGTTCCTCTTTTCCCTAAAGGAAGAATCAACATGAACCTTTAGTAGGAAAATCTAATGGCCATCCTTCAATATTTTCAAGGCTGTTTTTTATAGCTGCAGTGAAAGAATGCTCAAGAAAAGATGGGAACTTTACAAGATAACGCTAGAGTTGTCTGACACACACACACACACGGGGTGGAGAGTGAGATTAACTTAATCTGGAAGGGTGTATTTGTGATCGTGGTGGGTGGGCTCGTGTAAATAATGGCACAGATTTCCACACAAAAAGAAAAGAAAAATCTGAGCCTGATCCTGTATGTCAACAACAATCAGGACAGTCCTTTCTGCTGAAACAGACACGACGATGGACAAGACTGACAGCAACCACATGTGTCATTAAACTCAGCACCGGAGAGCCCAACAACACAGCACTGCAATGAAATACTGATGTTATTTGTTAAAAACACTCACAATTTAAGAGTAAAACCTAAATCTCAGCACAGCACACAACAAAGAGCAGCAAGCTTTGCAGCCGTGCTTGCCTACGATGGAAAAGATTCATGCGTGGATGCTGTGCATAACTTGAAAAATGTTTTGGGGGTTTGGGGTTGTTTTTGTTTTGTTTGTTTTTTAATGATCCACATTTGTTGAGGACGTGAAAAATCTCGTCGGATAACTGCAGCAGTGCAGCACCGGTTGATGGCTGCTGAATCAAAACACAGAGATGTAAACAGTGAACAGGTGGTCATTTGTTTAGCATGTAGAAACGCCAAAGCAGACTTAACGTGACACCTGCGGTTTGCCTGGAATTGCCGCAGATTTGCCTTCAACATTCACACGAACTTAACGCTGTTTTTGAGGGAAAGAAAGACGCGATTGCTTCGCAGTTTTCTGTCAGGCTAGCCTGCTCCATCCCCAGATGCTAAGTTAGCTATAGCCCCCAAAAGCAATCATCTCTCACCACTTCACACGGTGCTCCCACACTCCGCACTGCGCTCGCATAATACTGCTAAGCTCCACGGTCAAGATGAACGGTGACGAGCCCCGAAAGGAGAGACACGGGCTTAGGAAAAACGGCCACTAAATCGCCGTTCTGCTCTTCCAAAACAGTAGCAGCTCTGGTTGTACCTCTGCTGCTGCTGCTGTTGCTCTTGAGGACAGCACTTCCGCACCGAGAGGACAGCGAGAAGGAAGCCGACGAGGGCGAGTCGTAATTCGCCATCAATGAAAATCCTGTTCCCAGGATTTTGGGAATAGAGAAGAACCAAACACTGGATTGATTTTTTTCAATGATAGCTAAATGAAGCTTTGAAAACTGACTTAGAAAACACAGGGTCTAAATATTAAGCTATTGTCTCCTAATGCATACAAATGTGGAATTATAATAGAGTATGGGAATCATTTTGTATCGTGTTTAGATTGTGGAGGTATCGCCACAAGATCATTTAAATTAAAAACAAACTTTTAATTTATTAACCATAGGAAAACTGGACAACCGCCCCAAAACAATCTACTGACAGTGGTTGCTACAGAAAACACTACCTACCTTATAAATTTCTAGTCTTAACACCTTTATTCTTGCAGTTACTTTATTTACTGGTCTTCCTCTTCCCTGACAGCTACACATTTAGCACCTTTTGTCCAGTATATCCACTACCGCTCCTCTTCAAATGTCCAAACCACCTCAGCCTTGCCTCTCTAAATCATCAAGCACTGGATATGAGCAGGTGCACTAATTTCTAATCCTGTCCATTCTGGTCACTCCCAACAAATAATCAGATTTTATTCGTGAACATAATAGTTGTGTCTACACACGCTGTATATTATGCGAATTTAAAATAATGAATCCAACATAAAACAAGCATAAAATATACACATACTGCCAAAATAAGTTAATCAGAATGAACTCATTGTTTGTATCTTAAACGTTTCATGCATTAAACACTTCAAGTCTAGACCACCAAGCAGTATTAGACTAAAGTATGAAATGTAAAACTTAAAAGTCACAAATAGGATAAAATGTATAGTTGTATGTAACTTAACTGGGTTTTCTGCAGTAACTACAGTACATTGCAGCCAACTTGGTCTTGCGAGGAGCTAAAAAAAACACTTTGGGCAGAGAGAATCAGGGCATAAAATTATAATTTATAAACATAACACAAGATGAGAGACTGTTAACGACAATATACATAGCACATGTAATTTTCTACAGTACTACCGAACTGTACAGTACGTCTACTCTATATATATTTAATATACACAGAGAGAGATATAATAATCTGGATGTAAAGTTCAAACTGTATTTCATTGTAAATTCCCATGGCAATGTTCTTCTTCTTCTTCTTAAATGTTATTGGCGGTTGGCAAACAACTGATTGGTGCATTACCGCCACCACTAGTATGGAGTGTGGACTGAAATGACGCCCCCACCCCCACCCCCAAAACAAACAAACAATCAAACAAACAAAAAACCTCAAAGCCTTTCAAACACTCTTCCCGCTTTAAAAAACCGAAATAAAGCCTGTTAACTCCTACTTCCAGAACCAGATCCAGTTTCATATTCATATTAATGAGGTTTTGGTTTAATTGTCTCCTCTCCACCTGATATTTCAGACAGTGCAATATCACATGCTCTATAGTTTCTGTTTCTCCACAGAAGGCACATTTCCCCGTATTATGTTTCCCAATCAAGAATAATGTAGCATTTAACCCAGTATGTCCAAATCTCAATCTCTATGACCATCTCCTCTCTCCTGCTCCTTCCAGTGGTGCTCATTTCTCCTACCCCCCTTTGTATTGTATACAACCATCGTCCTCTCCTTTCCTCCTCCCACTGCTTTTGCCAACTACTCCTCATTTCTTGCCTTATGATACTTTTCACTTCAGCTTGACCAAAACTAACAGCCATGTCAACTGTCCCATGTCTTGTGGCTTCCTTCGCCGCTCTGTCTGCCATTTCATTCCCCATTATTCCATAATGGGCTGGAATCCATAGAAACACAACTGTAAGACCCATCATGTTTATTCTGAAAAGTGTTTGCGGAATTTCTGCTAGAGTATCTGCTCTCGCATCTGAGTGACTACACTGTAAACAATAGCTTTTAATGGCCTCATATCCATGGCAATGTTGTTCACTGAGCTGAAATAGGCTATATATAAATAAATGTTGCCTAACTGTTATTGTGAAGTCACAGCGCGCGCGCACTGACGCACTGACGCACCGGTCAGTTTCTGTTTTGTATTGCCTTATTTATACAACTAAATCCGGAGATTAAGATAATATTAACCAATGTTTAACCAATGAATATGTGTTCGCCGTCTCTCTTCGTTCTCCTAGAGAGAGAGAGAGAGAGAGAGAGAGAGAGCGCATATGGGCGTGAATTTTCCAGGCACCAGCTCCTCCAGGCTGAATTGCAACTCCCAAAATAGCAGCACTGCGAATTCTGGATCCTCTGAGAAAAAAAAATGGCTGAAGTAGTTTCACCAATAACTCGACAAGTAACTAAAGGAAGCCAGGAAAATGTGACCTGTTTTGTGGATATTAATCTCAGAGACGTCGAAGACTGTTTAATTTACGACCGGCATGGAGTTTCTATTCCGTTCAAGACCCTATACCAAGACAGGAAATCGGTCATAATTTTTGTGCGGGTAGGGAAAACTTCATTTGGCTTAACTTTGCTGATGAGTTATGGGTTCGCATAGGCACCCTACCTTAAGTTGCGTTTTTAACTGGGTCTTGATAGGCTTCAAAGTAGGTGAGCCTAAGTGTAGCTGACCAGATGCTCCAAGAATTTCCTGTGGTGTGTTGGAAATGGACGAATGAAGAGATCGTTCTTCATAGGTGAAGACAGAGGGATAAATTTTATGGCGCAAGATGTGAATTTTTAAATGCAGTGATCTCTCTCATCACTACAGACTTTTAACATGTTATGTAATATGTGTCCCTGCAGAATTTCTTGTGCTACAGCTGTAAAGAGTATGTTGATGATTTGGGAAAAATACCCAGAGAAGTACTGGAGGTAAGTTCTGTTTAGTAAGGACCATTGCACTAGAGGCTGTCAAAACAAAGAGCACAGCTGCAACACTGGCAACAAAGGTGCTCAGTTGTAGCAATAGGAGGTCTGATGAGTATTAACATAAATAATTGATCATGACAAATCCAAAATTCCATGTGTGTTCTTGCAGGATGCTGAAATTAGACTGGTCGTGATAGGTCAGTCCGCTTATCATCACATAAAGGTAATTATTTTGTTATATATACACCCACTGGACACTTGTTCAGCTGCTTGTTAAAGCAAATATCTGATCAGCCAACCACATGGCAGCAACTCAGTGCATTTATGCATGCAGACATGGTCAAAACAACTCGCTGAAGTTTTGAAGAAAGGTGATTTAATTGAGTCTGGTTTTGACATGTGGCCACTCTATTGGAATTCTGCCACAGTGCCATCTCTAAGGTTTACAGAGAATGGTCGAGGAAAAAAAAGGGGAAAATATCCACTGAGCACCAGTTGTCTGTGTGAAAAGTAAGAGGAGAATGTCCAGACTGCTTCGAGCTGATAAGAAGGCACGAGTAACTGAAATAACCACTTGTTACAACCAAAATATGCAAAAGACCACACCTAGAGCCACTCCTGTCAGCTAAGTACAGGAAACTGAGGCTGCAGCTTGCACAGGCTCAACAAAATCGGGCAATAGAGGTTTGAAAAAAAGCATTCTGGTCTCATGAGTCTCCAATTCTACTTCTACATTCAGATGATAGGATCTGAAGTAAAAAAAAGAATGAAAGTGTGGATTGATTCTGAACTGTTCAGGCTGCTGGTGGTATAATGGTGGAGGGCATATTTTCTTGGTACACCTTGGGCCACTTGGAACCAATTGAGTGTGATTTTAAACTCCGCAGCCTTCCTGAGTATTGATCTTGACCACGTCCATCCCTTTCTGACTACAGTATTCGCATCTTCTGATGGCTATTTCCAGCAGGATTCCACATCAAAAAGCTCAGATAATCAAAACTAGTTCAAGGAACAAGAGAAAGAATTCACTATTCACTATAGAAGAATTTCCACTACTGCAATCCAGTAGAACCTCTTTGGCATGATGGATGTGCAGCCATCAAAGCTGCACCAACTGTGTGATGCTATCAATTCAATATGAACCAAAATCTCTGTTGAATGTATGCCACAAAGAATTAAGGTCTAACTTTTGCAAGGTGTACCTATTACAGTGTCTGATGAGTGTATATAAATATCACAGCAGGCACTATAGTTTTCCAGACAAATGTACTCTTTCTTCTTGTTCTGTCATGTAGTCGTTCTGCTTGCTCACGGAGTATCCTTATGAAATATATGTGGACCCAGAGAGGCGCATTTACCAAAAGCTGGGGATGAAGCGAGAGGAGACATTCACAGACTCTGGTATGCAAAAACACTGTTGGAGTGTATAAGTAAGCTTATTTTGAGATGATAATGAAACTTTGTCTTTGTATCTGTGTTTGTGAACTCAGCACAGCCTAGTCCCCATGTGAAGTCTGGTGTTTTTATGGGCCAAATCAAGACTATATGGAGAGCCATGACTAGTCCTGCCTTTGATTTTCAGGGTGACCTACATCAACAAGGTGGAGCCATCATTGCAGGACCTGGTAAGTTGGTCTCTCTCTATATATAATGTCACGTGTTAATGTTGCCACTGCATTATATCTTATATCTTTTTTCTTCACACTCACTGTTTTCTCCCTCTCTGCAGGCTCCAAAGTCCATTTTTCCCATCTTGACATGAACCGCCTGGACCACATGCCCATCAACTGGCTCCTTCAGCTTGCAGGAGCTCAGAAAACGATTGAGTTCAGCGATAAGCCGAAAATCATTCACATCTAGTTAGGTGCCTGCCTGAAAGTTTCATCCCACGTCACTGCTGTAATCACACATGGAGTGTATATACAATCAGCTTCAAACTCTAAGACAACTAAATGAGTTTATGTTGCTTCTGTTGTGCATTTGAACTCAACTTGATTGACAAATAGTACATTACAATGACTTTATCAGCTTAACACACACCTCTCTCCTCTTCCCTCAACTGTCTTGGCTTTAATAACATCACTCAAACTGAAAGTGCATGCGGCAAGTTTGTGCAAAAACCGATAAGGCATGTTTTCCTGGCATGATCTGAAA